CAGATGTGTCCTTACAAAATGACTTTCTCTCAGGGGAACCTCAATGTTCCTTCCAAATAGAAACCTAAATCATCTGACATACACTAAAGCCAGTGCTTCTTTGTCTCAGCCAGTAAGAGATTTGAGCTTGGGCTCGGTGGCACAGCCTATAATCCCACGCCTTTGGGAGTCTGAGGTGAGTGGATTGCCTGAGCCCGCAGATTCGCGACCCACCTGGGGAGCTTGGTGAAACGTCATCTCTACAATAAACCCAAAATTAGCAAAGCGTTGTAGTGCTCGCCTGTAATTTTAGCTACTTGGAAGGCTGAGAGGGATGTATCGCTGGAGCACAACATGTTGAAGTTGGGGTGGCCAGAAGCGGCCACTGCACTCCAGCCTGGGCGACAGAGTGAGACTACAACTCAAAAAAAGAAAAAAAGTATTTTCAGGGTACATACCACTATCCTCCGCACTGGGTGGCATCTGCAATAATGTAAAAGGACAGAGTGTAAAGAGTAGATTAAACTGTGAAATGCACAAGTATCTTTCATTGATGACTTAAAAAACCATTGGTTCAGTCCAAGTTAAAAGTCCTTAAAATTAGGAAGAGATAAAACTCGTGAAAAAAGATAGACATTTTCTACACAATTTCCCCTTACCAGCGATTTAAATGAAAAATTCACAATTCTAATTCATGGATAAAAATAGATGCTAAAGGAAATGCCTGCACATTAAAAAGTATGGTGAATGCTATCATTTAAAAATGTCTAACTGTGTCAAGTATGAGTTAGTAAGAAAAGGCCACTCAGTACAACAGCACTAAGAGAATTCTATGTGTCATACCTAATGTACATTTTTGGACTTTTGTATCTAAACTTTTTGACAAGGGCCAAATTCAGAAAAATTACCATATTCCTCGTGAAAATGTAAAGTGGACTTACCTGGGGAGTACGCGATTCTGATTCACAGGAGGTTTTCTCCACATTCTCCTCGCCGACTAGGAAAATTCAGAGAAAATATTATTACCCAGATAATTGGTGATTTTGAATTAATTTGGGTGCTTTGAGATAGTATATGAAGGAGGTTGATTAAAAAGCATGGTCTTAAGTTACTAGGGCATCCTGCTGAATCAAAGACGGATGGCAAAGGAGAAGTGTAGAGAGTAAATAATACAGATACTTTAACTTAGTGCTAATGTTCACCTTACGTAACAGCAGATAGTCTGTAAAAGATCTTGAACTATGTATTGGGATTTAGCATTTGAATTTCCTTATTCCTTCTGCCTGTCTTGAAATCCAGCTAAATTTCCTTCCTTGCATCACTAAACATTATCCTGCTAGTGTCTTTACTCAAATTTATGAGATTTGCACTAGTTTTAGGCAACATTTTATTTCCAATAGGCTGGTGGCTATTCAGGATATAGTAACTAGTCAAAAACTTGAGTGTTCATCCTGGTGAAAGATTTGGAATGAGTGTTGATTGTCCTTAATCCAGATGTATCAGAAAGGCCCCCAAAACAATGGATTGCAGGCTATTAACCTAGTCCTGCATTGTGTTTGTATTTTCATTCTTACCACTTTAATCTGGCAGGATTTGAGTATTTGGGGGCTTACGAAGATAATAATGTACAATCCACTAAAATACGTCTCCAATTCTTATATGCTTAAAAAAATCACCTCAGAGTGGATAGACTGTAGCCACATTGAACTACATGATATCTCACAATAGTTCGAATCTGTGAATGGAGCAGAAACATCTGGACATCTCTATGCTTTTACAAAAAGTGATCGTGGCATTCTGTGAGGAAACCAACTTATCACCATTCACTATAGCGTAACCATGTAACCGACACCCAAGCACATCTTTGGTAGTATGAATAAAGAGTATGTGAGATGGGGATCAGTGGCTCACCCTGAAATCCCAGCACATTGGGAGGCCAAGGGAAGGGGATTCTCTGACTTTGCAGGTTTTAAACCAGCCCAGGGAACTTGGTGAGACCTCACCTCCAAAATATGTAAGAAATTAGCCGGTTGTGGTAGCGTGCACCTGTAGCACTGGCTAATTGGAAGGCTGAGGCAGAAGTATCACCGGAGCCCAATCAATCAATTCTGGGATGGCTATGAATGTGTCACTGCAGTCAGGCCTGGAGGACCGAGTGTGACCGCAACTCAAAAAAATGTGATACATACACATGATGAAATACTAGACCCTCATTGAAGAAGATCAAAATGTTGTCATATTCAACAATGTTTATGCAGCTGGAGACCCTCATTTTAAATGAATTGTTACAGAACAAAAAATTTAAAACTGCGTGTTGTCACTCACAAGGGTGTCCTAAACACTGGGCACAAGAATGGGGGCAACAGACACTGGGAACTAATTTAAGCAGAGAGGGTGAAAGGGAGGAAAGGGATACAAACTACCTACTGGATATCATGATCTCTTCTGTGGTTAGGGGGCTCTTCAGAAGAACAAATATTGCCTTCATGCAAGAAAGCTTTGTAAGTACTCTACTCATGTACCCCATGATTCTAAAGTTAAAAAAGGACCAAGAAAAGAAAACTCAACATGTAGGATTCACAAAGAGGTCAGATTTGAGACCTTAAATCCCAGTCTCATTAATTTTCCAAGATAGAAACACTGCAAGTTATTCCCTCAGATCACTGTGACACATAGCTGTAAGCAACCATCTTAAGAGAGCCAAATATAGCAAAATGTTTGCGAATTAATCAATAGGTGCCTCTTTGGGTGGCATTCATAGCGCACACCTTGTAGTTTCTCATGAGCCTCTTATTTTCGACCTCAGAGAGTGAAGTGGAAACTTCAAGGATTCCTTCACAGAATATCCTGTCCACAAAGCATTGTGATATAAAATTATAAGATAACAAGTGTGAGATAGCCTTAAAATGTAAAAATAATTTCAAATAAGCACTTCAGGGACTTATTTGGTGTCATTCATACTGTACAGTCTGGTCACAGATGTGTCCCTACAAAAGGATTTTCTGCCATGAGACTCCCAATTTTCATTCTGAATAGAAACCTAGAGCAGCTTCTGCACACAAGAGCCAGCTGCATGTTTTCGTCAGCTTGTAAGAAATTTTAGGGTACACACCTGGTTCCTCTGCCAAGAGTCGCATCTGTAATTATGTAAAAGAAGACAGTGTAAAGATTAGATTATGCCGTGCAATGCACAGATATCCAATATTTTTTATTGATAACTTAAAAGACCCCTGGCTGAGTCAAAATTAAAAGACCCTAAAATTAAGAAGAGATTAAAGTTGTGAAAAAGATAAACATTTTCTACACAATTTCCCTTTATCAGAGATTTAGATGAAAACTTTACAATTCCGAATTCATGGATAAAATAGATGCTAAAACAAATGCCTGCACATTAAAAATTATAGTGAATGCTATCATTTAAAAATATCTATCTGTGTCAACTATGTGTCAGCAATAAAGGGCCACTCAGTACCACGGCACTAAGATATTTATATGTGTCATATATAATTTACTTTGTTGAATATTTATATCCAACTTTGATTGATAAGGACCGAATTCAGACAAATTACATTTGCCTCATAAAACGAAAGGTGGTCTTACCTGGGCAGAAAGCCCTTCAGATTTGCCGATGTTTTCCTCCACATCCTTCATGCAGGCTAGGAGAATACAGAAAAAATATCAGTACCCAGATAATTGTTGATTTTGAATCAAGTAGGGTGCTTTGACTGAGATAGTAGCCAGTCAGTAATTTGATGTCTCATCTAAGTAGCCAGTCAGTAATTTCATGGCTCATCATGGTGAAAGGTATGGAATGAGTGTTGATGGTCCTTTATCCAGATGTACCAGAAAGGTGCCAAAAATAACGGAAATCAGGTTATTAACCGAGTCCTGCATTGAGTTTGTATTTTCATTCTTACCATTTTAATCTGGCAGGATTTGAGCATTTAGGGTCTTATGGAGGTAATATTATAAAATACACCAAAATACGCCACCTATTCTTGCATTCTATGGCCAGCTGCTTTGAAAATTCACCTCAGAGTGGATAGAGGTTAGCCACATTGAACTACGTGATATCTCGCAATACTTAGGTTTTGTGAATGGACCAGAAACATCTGGGCATATACGTGCTTTTCATCAAGTGACCATGCCTTTCGGTGAGAAAATGAACCTATTACACTTCACGATAACAAAATCATGGAACCGAACGCCCAGCATATCTTTGGTAGACTGAATAAAGAACATGTGGGACAGGGCTCAGTGTGTCATCTTGTAATCCCAGCACTTTGGAAGGCCAAGGGAGTTGGATTTCCTGCGCTTGCAGGTTTGAGATCAGCCCAGGCACGTGGTGAGAGCTCAATTCCAAAATAAATTAGAAATTAGCTGGGTGTGGTAGCGTGTGCCTGTAGCACTGGCTACTTGGAAGGCTGAGGCAGATGTGTCACCGGAGCCCAGGCGGTTGAGGCTGAGATGGCCCTGAGTGTGCCAGTGCACTCCAGCTTGGGGACTGAACGGGACCACAACTCAATTTTAAAAAGCGGTATATATTCTTGATGGAATACTAGACCCTCAATGTAAAAGAAGATCAAAATTATGTCATATTCAACAATATCTATGCAGCTGGAGACCTCATTTTAAATGAATTGTTACAGAAACAAAAAAACAAAATACTGCATGTTCTCACTCACAAGTGTGTCCTAAACACTGGGCACAAGAATGGAGATAAAAGAGACTGAGAACTGATATAAGCAGGGAGGGAGAAAGAGACATATGTAGACAAAACTACCCACTGGATACCACGATCATTTCTGTGATTGGGTGGGCTGTTCAGAGGGAAAAATCTTGCCTTCCTGCCAGAAAACTGTGTAAGTAATCCTCACATGTACGCCATGATTCTAAAGTTATAACATACCCAGAAAAGAAAACTTAACACGGAGGATTCACAGAGCCATCATATTCGAGAACTTAAAGCCCAGTCTCATTAAAATTTAAAGAAGAAAAATGCTGCAAATTATGCCGTTAGATCACTGTGGCACAAAGCTTAAGCAACAATCTTAAGAGAGGCATAAATACCAAAATATTTGTAAATTAAGCAATAGGTACCTCTTTGGGTGGCTTTCTTAGGGTACACCTTTTTGTTTAGCGTGAGCTTCTTGATGCTAAACCACTTAGAGTGAAGTGGGTCTGTTAAGGGTTCCTGGATGGGACATCCTCTCCAAACCTCTCTGTGGTATAAATCTATAAGCCAAGAATAATAAGAGAGCCACACAATTGCAAAAGATTTTAAATTAAGTACTTCAGTGACTTATTGGAAGACATTCATATGGTACTCTCCGGTCACAGATGTGTCCTTACAAAATGACTTTCTCTCAGGGGAACCACAATGTTCCTTCCTAATAGAAACCTAAATCATCTGACATACACTAAAGCTAGTGCTTCTTTGTCTCAGCCAGTAAGAGATTTCAGTTTGGGCTCGATGTCACAGCCGGTAATCCCGCGCATTTGGGAGTCTGAGGTGAGCCCGCAGATTCGCGACGCACCTGGGGAACTTGGCGAGACCTCATCTCTACAATAAACCCAAAATTAGCAGAGCGTGGTACTGCTCGCCTTTAATTTTAGCTACTTGGAAGGCTGACAGGGATGTATCGCCGGAGCACAACAGGTCAAAGGTGGGGTGGCCGGAAGCGGCCACTGCACTCCAGTCTGGGCGACAGAGTGAAACTACAACTCAAAAAAAGAAAAAAAGAATTTTCAGGGTACATACCACTCTCCTCCGCACTGGGTGGCATCTGCAATAATGTAAAAGAGGAGAGTGTAAAGAGTAGATTAAACTGTGAAATGCACAAGTATCTTTCATTGATGTTTCAAAAACCATTGGTTGAGTCCAAGTTAAAAGTCCTCAGCCGGGCTCGGTGGCTCAGCCTGTAATCCCGCGCCTTTGGAAGGTTGAGGTGAGTGGATTGCCTGAGCCCGCGGGTTCGAGACCCGCCTGAGCAGCGAGATCTCATCTCTAAAATAAATCAAAAAATCAGCTGGGTGTGGTAGCGCATGCCTGTAATTCCGGCTACTCAGAAGGCTGTGGCGGAAGGATCGCCGGAGCCCAGCAGGTCGAGGCTGTGGTGGCCCGAAGCGGCCACTGCACTCCAGTCTGGGCGACAGAGTGAGACTCCAACTCAAATAAATAAATAAATG